CCCATATCTTTTCTATATTCTGCATGTTTTTTATCCATTTGTTGGTTCTTTATTTTCTGTTTTCTCAACAATTCCCTTTACTGCCTTTACCATCTATATTTTAAACTCCCTTTCTGTAATTTCCATTAATTTTTTATAGGTGGATACCTCTATGGCAGCTGTCTCATGGTAACTTAAGAGAGTTGCTATGTTTTGGTTTTCCATGTTGACAGAATTTTTTCTGTTGGTTCCTTGTCATGTGTGTTTTCTTCTGGTTCATTTCCTTCCCCTACTTTTTCCTTCCACTACCTCTTACACTTTAACTTACCTTGTGTCAGAGCATAGCTGTTGAAGTGTCCTTTTGGCAAAGGCCAAAAGGAAAAGAAAGGTAAAGAGCAAAAAGCAAGAAGGGTAAAAAGCAAAAGAAAAAAAAAGAGAGAAAGAGAAATAAAAGAAAAGGGGGTGAAAGAAAAGAATTGAACAGAAAGAAAGGAAGGAAGGAAGGAAAGAAGGAAGGAAGGAAGGAAGGGAGGAAGGAAGGAAGGAAAAAAGAAAGAAAGAAAGAAAGTAAGTAAGTGACTGGAGAAATGGTGGTATTTGTCAGGGTGCTATTACCACATCTGCAAATCTAGGCCTTTAGTGGTCTGCACTGGGCGGGTCTCTCAAAGCCAGCAGCTCATTATCAGCATGAGAAAAAGCAAAACTCTGTCTCCACCAAATATGGAACAAAAATAAAAGAGAATATTCAGCAATATGTTGCAGTGGGGAAATACCAATATCATCTTTCCAAAGGTCAAAGATAGAAGGACACCCTAGACCATGAGCTATTTATGCCAGACCAATGCCATGACCTCTGATCCAGACCAGTGCCATGTGTCCATAGCACTCAAGAGGAAAGGAAGAAAAATAATAACAATAAAAAAAGGAAAATGAGATAAAGAAAATTAAAATTATAATTATTAAAGATAATAAAAAGTGATATCTTAGCTGCTGTGTGATAAATTTATTTGGAAATTATGAGAATAGCAGAAAAATATTTATCAAAAGAGAGGAAAAAGTAGATATAAAAAAATAATAAAAGCAGCTGAAAAACTAATAAGCATGGAGGAGCCCTTGCTATTAAAGAAAGTAAATATTAAAAAATAAAAATTAAACCAAACCAGAAAGAAGGAGCAGAATAAAAAACAACAAGTACAACAACAAAAAAAGTGGGGGGGGGGGAGGACTAAGGAAAAAGTTGTGACAAGGAACAAAAAAATGGAAGGAATGTACAATATATTGCCTGGACACCAGGTGGCGCTGTGTTGTTAGTACACGGAGAACACACAGCTGCTTTTGCTATATATAAAATAAAACCTGGATGGTACTTTATGGTTGCAGAGGAGATTCAGTCCTGTCTTCCTGACAATTAGGGCCTGGTTACTTTGTCAGTATTCAGACCCTGTGAGATTTGGATCCTAAACCTCTTGCCAGCCTTCTTAGGAGGTACATCAATTTAGTACCCCCTGACAACAATATGGCCTTCCTGGGGTTGCAGGGTGCGCTCAGCTCACCTTTGTTGCCTGAGCCCAGCAATTTTGCCAGAGTCATCCATATACTAGGACCCTGCAGAATGTTCCTCTGGCATGCTCTCCCCATAATGGTGGTGCCCAGCTACCAGCCAAGCCAGTAGGAGATCCATCTTGCCCAGTATTCAATCCCGACTAGTAGATGCTGCTCAAGTCCCCTCACTAATTTAAGCAGTTTAAACTGCTCATTGGAGCTGTTTATTCCAAAATCAGAAAACTTCAGGACAGCCCTTTCCTGTCCCCAGACTTCCACATGAGGGCTGGTCAGCTGGCCCCTGCCCGTATGTAAGTACTTGCCTTCTGTGCCAGCTCTCTTCAGCTCCAGACCTTCTTGCCTACTCCTGGAGTCCACAACTGCTTCATTGTGCCCTCAGAGTGATGTTCCTGTTAAATTCAACAGGCCAGAGGTGGCTGGAGCTCTCATTCCCCTGTCTTGTACCGTGGCTAGAATGGAGCTGTTTTTAATCTGCAATCTTGCTCCACTCCCTACCAGCTTCTTTATAATGATTGCCAGAAATGGAAGTCTTTATTTTGGACCTACTTCTAGAAGCCTAAAAAGGCCCTTACGTAATGCACAAGTGAACAAAGTACCCTTGGCTGCTTCTATTCTTCCCTATTCTGACTTTTCTTTGTTTCCATGCATTGTCATTATATACTTTTAATTTTATTTAGTATTCATCTATGAAAGCCTTAAATTCTTTCTGGAATAAAGCTGGAGATAGATAAATACCTACCTTAAATGAAAAACAGAGCTAATTTTAATGGTTTGAAATGTTTGGTGCTATTATTATTTACAATATATGGAAACTTTATCTCTGTTCTTTTAAAATTAAAACCAGCCAGGCAATGGTGGCTGTAATCATTGCTGTAATCCTAGCATTCTGGGAGGCAAAGGCAGGTGGATTATTTGAACTCAGGAGTTCAAGATGAGCCTGAGCGAGAGTGAGACCTGTCTTTATTAAAAATAGAAAAACTAGCCATGTGTGGTGGTCCACATTTGTACTGTTAAATACTCAGGAGCCTGAAACAAAACCATCGCTCAAACCCAAGAGGTCGAGGTTGCTATGAGTTAGGCTGATGCAACCGTACTCTACCCAGAGTGACAGAGTACAACTTTCTCTCTCTATCTCAAAAAAAAGCATGTAATAAACACCATAAAAATAGCTATATAATGTGAAATAGCTGAAAGAATATTGTACTTTTAGAAACTTTAAAATAAAGTAGTGCAGAATACACATGCCTACTCTACAAGTCAATTCTATGAACACTAGCCACCACTACCACCAATCTGTCAATTTCTTTCTGACTTTCCTGTCTCTAGCACACCTGATTCATGTCCTATCTCCTTATCTTATACATCTCTTTACCAATTCACTGCCAACCCATAACCATCTTAGTTTTTATTCATTTTGTGCCCTGAAAAAGTTTGTATAAATTTCACATATTATATTCTATACATAGATATCAGGCCACTTTAAGACAATTCATGTCTATTTTATATTCAACAACACTGATTGTACAACTGTTCCACACATACTGAGTGCTTAATAATTATCTTCCTTGAAAATGTTCCAGAGCATTAAAAATAACTGCTGCTCAACTGCCTTACTTTTCTTCTTTAAAATGAAACCTCAGCTACTCTGATATTAGTAGTTTCCCTTTACCTTTCATCACTTAAATTGTGGTTGATCCTCTTTTCCTAAAGGCTGTTATTTCATATCTATGTAATATATAATATACATATATATATGTAATAACTTTTATGACTTAGATGTTATGTATGCAAAAGTCAGCAAGCAGACTCATATACTTCTTTTCAAAACATCATATTCTATTAAGGTCTCAGTAAATAATTCTAATAGTGAATGTAAAAGTTAATCTTTCACCATTTTGCTTTTTCCCTTCAAATTTTAGCTCCTTGAATTTCATACACTCTCTGGGGTTTGAGTGACGGTTTTGTTTCAGGCTACTGAGTATTTAACAGTACAAAAAGTACCTACCTTTTTCTACTTTACACACCCTTGTTCTATTTTGCCTTAACAGATGATAGATAAACTTATAAATTCATACATGAATTAATATGCAGCTTGTGAAACATGCAACAAATCTGACAAAAGACTGATAACTAGAATCTACTGAGAACTCAAACTAATCAAAAAAAGCAAACAAACCAATTTAGAAGTGGAAAAAAAGATATGAAAAGAAACTTCTCTGAAGAAGATAGGTGAATGCCCAAAAAACAAGTAAAAAAAAAAAGCTGATCATCCCTAGTCCCCATAGAAATATAAATCAAAAACACCCTGAAATGTATCTAACCCCAATGAGAATAGCATACATCTCAAGGTCTGAAATCTGAAGATACTGACATGGATATGGACACAAGGGAACATACTTACCCTGTTGGTGGGATTTCAAACTAATACAGCCTCTCTGGACAGAAGTATGGAAAATCTTCAAAAAGCTAAAAGTAAACTTTCCATTTGATCCTACAATCCCATTACTAGGTATCCACCCAGAAGGAAAAAATATTTTACCATAAGGACATTTGCTCTACAATGTTCATTGCAGCTCAAATCACAATCACCAAGATGCAGAATCTACTCAAGTGCCCATAAACCCATGAATGCATTAACAAACAGTGGTATATGTATACCATGGAACATTATTCATCCATAAAAAGATGGAAATTTACATCTTTTGTATTAACCTCGATGAAGCTGAAGAACATTTTCCATAAAGTATCACAAGAATGATAAAGGAAGTATCCAATGTATGCAATACTAATATGAAAACAATAGATAACAACTATAGTCCCAAATGAGAGAAAAACACACTTACATTCAAGTGGGTGGAGGAGGGAAAAGGGAAACACAAGGAGGATGGGGGATTCCTAAGCTCTCACCAAACAGGCACAATTCAGGTTTATACAGCATACCCCCAGGAAGAAGGGCTCAACTATAACTTGAACTTTACCTAACAAATGCAAACAATTTAACCAATCATTTGTACCATCATATTCATCTGAAGTAAATTTTGAAAAGAAATTTAAAAAGATATACATTCCGATTTCTGTTCTAAAATTAGAAATATAGATAAAATCTCTAGTAGATAGCCTGTTGTGTTTATGCCAGCATGAGAACAGGGAGATAAGAAAAACCAGTCTTTACAAAAAATTATTCTATCTTGACTTAGGTAGCTAATAAGAAACATAATACATTTTCTCTAGAGAAATTAGTACTCCCAAAAAATTGAAAAACATTTACTATTACACAGAACTATTAAGAAATGACAGTAAGTGTATAATAGAAATAAAAGTAATAAAATCAAAGAATTACCTTTGTATGCACTGTTTGAGAAGATTAGAAATGGCATATTTGGACGTCTACATATGTGAGCACGTTTTTTTCCTAAATGCTTAGAATGGAAACAAATGTGGGAAAAAGTATTCATTACCTTTCCAAATGATCCCTGACCAAGAACTTTCAGCAACTCAAACTGTGCAGGATCTGCTTTCTCATATCCTTCCTTAATATGATGAGTAATAGGAATTTCTTTAACAACTCCTTCATCCTGTAAAAAGACATCCAAATAATATTCAAGTCCAGTTCCAACATCTTAGGATTAGCTCCATTTAGAACCACAAATCATATAAAACCTAATTCCATCAATCTAGCACAGTGTTTTATGGCCTACAGATATCCCTATTTTCCCCATTTTCTGACATACACCAATATACTATTACCATATTCCCTACTACACACAGTAGTGAGACTCTGTAAGATGACAACCCAACAGATTATATCAAACTGGTGAATATACAGAGGCAGACAACATAAGGAACTAGGCCTATTTTACTGATATATATATATATATATAGGGTACATGTCTAGCTATGAAAATTAGGTCAACTTAAGGAGATGGTCAATGTAAGGAGGTGGTCAACCATGGAGGTTCTGCTGTAGTTTCATCTAAATAAAACAATGTAAAATAAAATCTATGCTTCAGCTTTCTCTTCCAAGTAGATAGTAATATAATGTTAACAACTAATAATCTCGAGACATTCCCTGGTATATCACTTATAAGGTACAATAAGAAATAGTCAAGATAAAAATTTATAAATTGTTAAGTATGAAACAAAATGTCAGTATCAATAGTTCTTTTTAATTTTTGTTTGTTTGTTGTTTTGTTTTTTACAGTGTTGTGAGGTATTTATTAAAATATTTCTTAGTAAAAAGATAATGTCAAAGAGTGGTCAGCCAACTCTCCTTTGCCTTCATAATAGTGTTTTATACACTTTTAAATATTTAAATGTTCAACAAGCCATATCAGTAAAAAGGAAACTGACATAGACAATAAAAGCAAAAAGAAAGAAAAAGAAAAAAGAAAAATCTGCAGAGCCCAAGCAAATGTTTTGAAGCCATGGCCCTACTTTTACTGAAATTTTGTATATAAATTGTATGCCAGATTTTCTAACACTGTATCAGGCAGAAAGGAAGCCACCCAGGGAATATTTCTGCCCTTTGGTACAGTACTCCACTCAGTTGTGATGAATATACTCGTGAGTTGTAATTCTAGTCCCTAAAGAATTATAACAGAAAGGATGAAAATAAACCTCCAATGTATTGTGTACCATAAAACATTACAGCAATAGGGATATCTTGTCTGATACTCTATATAAAATAGAAAACTAAAACCCGCAGAGTTTAAGTTCTCCTGACTACTTAATCACAACATCTGGAAGTCTTGATAGCCTTCCATTATACCATATAAATTTTGGTCTGGATAGCAAGAATATTCTCAATTTACTTTTCAATAATACATTATTCAATAGTGATTATGGCCAAAATAGATAAGAAAATGGTCACAAATAGGCTGGCTTCATGGCAGCTAAAATAATATACATGTCAAACTAGTAGTGAGACATTCACTGTCTCAAGATAATATCTAAGCAGAAGAATTTAATCAGGAATGAAGACTAATCAGCTGTGAAAATGTGTCATGGATGTTTCTTATACATCAAAATAGTATTTTGCCAGATCCTTTTAGATAGTAATGTATAAATGTTAAATTTTTAAAGATAAAAATTACATCAAAATTAAAAATTAAATTAAGTCAAAGTAAATAAATCTAATAAAAGAATGAGAATTTCCCTGTATGAAATGGGCCTTTATAAAAAAATTCAACCTTTTAAAATGCAAATACAGCAAAATCTCCATATTTGACTACCTCTCTACACTTACCAACTCCTTAAGTTGACCTAATTTTTATATACCAGAAATGTACCACAAGAATTCAATGGAAGACTGATTTCTACATGTACCTTGATCACTTGGACTGTAACACAAAATATTACTTTACCCTGTATAACCTCCAGTTGAGTTCACTCTATACCAAGATGTAGAAGTTTTGTGCTTTCTCACTTAGTTGTATTATTTTATCTTTAGTAGAAGTTCTTTTTTCATGTTTTATTATTACCATGTGTGAGTTTAGGTCTAATGTCCTATCGTTTATTATGTGTTGAGGAAAATTATTTTCAACAGGAAGGACTTGATTGAATTATAGATATATCCTACAATTACTGGAAAATTTTATTTAATTGAAACATTATGGCCTAAAGGAAAGAACTCAACCCAAAGAGCTATCATTGCAGGAAAAAGGTAATACACTTTCTGGAAAGCAGCAGCTGAAGGAAAACGAGAAGACATTTGGGTTTTACCAAGACAACAGCAACATCAAAATATGCAAACATGAGTACTTGGAGAAACATGGTAAAAAAGTGGAGACCTATAGCAGAAAAGGTGTAAAACTTTCCTCAATTAAGTTAATGAAGCCACATTAAGCAGGTTCAAATACATGAGGGCAATTAATGTCTGGACCTCTGGGCTGATGATCCAAGAACCTACTAAAAAATTCATACATGAATTCAGGATGGGAAATTTCTGAGCATCAAGTGATTGACTTAAGAAATTTAAACTGCAACATGAGATCTCCTAGAAAGTCTTGTGTGATAATTCCAATGAAGTTCCAGTAGAAGTTGTGTAAAAGTCTGTCAAAAAGTTCCTGGACTTGAAAATTGGTTTCATTCTTCATGAAGAATGAGGTGAATTCATTTTATATTTGTCACAAGCATTGGGGTTTGCTTATTTGTTTTTCTGCTTAATTTCAAAGATAAAATGTACTTACTTTTAGAGGGAGGAAGGCTCATCTTTAAAAATGAACATTAAATATATCTGGAAGAGCAGAAGTTTATGTAATCTCTTATGTATAATTAAACTAAAGAAATACTTCAATGGGACTTAAAAGTATTCTTTTTTGTGTTTCCAAAGTTTATTAAAAATCAGAGAATAGAAAATTCTTACATAAAAATATGTGAATTTTCGCTTCCACATTGCTGGGCCCCCCCCCCAAAAAAAAAAATCTGACATGAAATCTTTTGTTGAACCTGTAGTGTGAGACCACAGTGGTAGCCAGTTAAAAGTTTTTTCTTTTTTAATCAATAAATTATATTTGGCAATTATTTTAAGTTGCCTATAGATAGGGCCATGCTGCTGTGTTTTGAATCACAGAATGTTGTATATGTTTGTGTGTGTGTACATGTGTGCATGCATGTGTGTGTATCTCTCTCTTTCTTTGTGGTAATACTGTAATACAGGGGTCCTCAAACGTTTTAAACAGGGGGCCAGTTCACTGTCCCTCAGACCATTGGAGGGCCAGACTGCGGGCCCTGGGACAAGTCGACTGCTAAGAAGGACAGGCAGTGGCAGCAAAACCTCCCAGCAGGCCAGATAAATGTCCTAGGTGGGCCATAGTTTGAGGATGTCTGCAATATGAGATAGCTTATTTCATCAACTTATCAGGGTGCCGGATAGTAAAGAATTTTTTCAGTCAATTGACAAAAAAATTGTGTACACACAGTAAATATTATTTCTTAGGCAACTGTAACTTTTTATATAGTTGTAAAATTCCATTATTTCCATTGCCAAAGAAATATCAAGAACTTTGTCTATCTATATAAAAAAGAAAATTATTTTGGGCGGCACCTGTGGCTCAAAGGAGTAGGACACCAGCCCCATATGTCAGAGGTGGCAGGCTTGGACCCAGCCCTAGCCAAAAACTGCAAAAAAAAAAAAAAAAAAAAAAAAAAAAAAAAAAAAAAAAGAAAGAAAGAAAGAAAATTATTTTTTATACAGTAAATATTTTAAAGTCTGCAAACATACTGTGTCCTTGCAGAAGTGGATGTGCTAAGGAACAGAAATATAGGTGGGGCTTTATTCATTAGCTTTCCTGCCTCAAGATTTTATATATATATATATGTGTGTTTTCTAATGTTTGCAACATAAATGAAGATTTTTTTATACATTCTTTCATTATTTAAAAAGGATGAAGTGTGCATACATATTGTAAGAACTTAATTTTGTAGCAAGCGGCTTATCATAGGATTTGACCATATAATACATATTTTTAGTAAACAAAGTTAAATAGTCATAAGTAAGAATGTAATTAGTTGTATTTTCAAATAAGTAACTCATCCCCTTTTTTTCAGTACATTAAAAATAGGCATCAGCTTGGACTAGTAAGATGGCCATCTAGAGGCAGCTTTCACCAGAGGCTCCTGTCCAGAGGGAGAGATACTGGACAGAAGTGGATTCAGTGAAACCGAAGGTGGGGAGTTGAGCTAAGAAAGAAGATAGATAAGTGCATATCATCTTTGCTGAGGCAAGCTGTGACTCCAAGAAAACAAATTCCAGGTCCAAAAATCATTACCAAGAGGACAACAGATCCCTCCCCAAAGCAATAGGCTTGCTGTGGGTTCTCTGCAAGCAAGTCAGGAACAAAAGACCACTCATTTCACCCCACAGGAGAGAACCACTAAACATTGTGCCTCCTTCTCCAGGGAGATCCCACTTGTGATCCTAGGCATCATCCTGCCCAGCATAAAAATGAACAAATATTTTCCTTACAATTCTGAATTCCCAGTCCACCCTTCCCCTCTCACCTGGTGGTCTTAAGGTCTGCCCCCTGCAGAGCCCAGAATGTATGGCATTCTCTGAGAGGCCTGGGCACACTGTGTGGGACCCTAAACAGCAATGCAGAAACAGTGACTCAAGTGGAATCTGGGGCTGCAGAGAGAAACAGACATGCAGGAGAGAGAGATGCACTGTGATGGTATGTGGCAAGCAATCTTTTCTCACTTGGTGGCTCATCGGAGGGGTCCAGGCTCCATCCCCTTGGGATTGTCGGATGGAATTGCCTGTATATTTCTACTATAAGGCCACTGGAGACCCTCTGAACTCTCCCAATTGAACAATGATTGTACTGACTGGGACAATCTTATTAGAATTCTCAACCTAGGCTGTCCACCCAAGGACCCTCTGAGGTTGAGTACCACTTGTTTTCTAGCAGGAAAAGATTGATTCTTCTACTCCAGCTGTCACTGGTGGAAGGTGGGGAGGTGCAGTTGCTTATATCTCTCCCTAGCTGAAATTTCAGCCCAATACCACAACTCATAAGGATTGGGTAGAAGCTGTCTGACCTCAAGACAGAGCCAGCTTACACTACCTCAGGAAGTA